AAAATTTAATCCTTACTTTGGCCTACAGATAATTATATAAGGCTGCCAAAGTAGGGATTAAATTTAATAAACTTATGATTGTGGTTTTAATTCTTGTTTCAATACTTTTTATAACAGGATCCCTACTTCATTTTAAAATTCATAATTTTTTAAGACTTTCAATTGTTTACTTATGTAACACCTGTATAAATATATACATTACCTTTAGAAACTGTCTACCTATCCATCTAAATCTAATGCCATCCGTTGGGTTGAAAAGATATTCAAGTATATGCATAATATGTTTACCATTTATATTATCCTGTGTGCGAGTGTGTGTATGGATTTTTATTTGGAATATCAAAAGCGGATACCCACAGACCAGTCAAGTAAGCTGGAGAAATCTTGCACCTATAATCCAAGCCATCTATGCATTAGCCTCACTGATGTGATCAGATTGGTAGGTACCAGACAAAAAAGTTGCTGCTTTAGAAATTTTTGAATTGAAATGTTAGCAACCTTTTTAATGTATTATTAGTATATATGTGAATAATATATTGTAACCAATACTTTGAATGGTCGGTTTTTCACTTAGGAATTTGATAGGGTGGTTTTGGACACAATATATTTGGAATCCTTATCGATCCCTACCATAGTTAAAATAATTTTATGTGCTTATTTGGTAATTTTTAGATGAGCTAAACAATTTCTTTGATTTGTTTGTTTTTAAGCACAAGGATATCTGTGTTACACCTACCATAGGTATCTAAACCCAGTGTTTAGTGTTATAAGAATACAGACATAATGAGTCATTGGAGAATGTGAGGGGAACAAGCAGAAAAAAAACCAAGAATCAATCAGCATACCTCCAGCTGCTGAATTTAAAAAAAGAATTTTAACTGTGTGTGTGTTGTTCATCTGATATTGTTGGGCTCTGTCTCCTTGGCTATAATGGCCATGTTTCTCACAATATAATAGCAGTTGGGAAACAAGAAAAAAGATGAAAGGAGGCTGCTTTGATATCCCCTAAAATAAAATTCTCTCTCTAAATTACATTACTAAAACTCAAGTTTCCAAATTTAAAACTTAAAATTACTGATATTGGGGTAGTGAACCAAATAGATACTAGGTCCAATTATTCTATTATATATGAAAAATGACAAATTAAGAAAAACCAACCAAAACGTTCATTTACCAACATGACATGAAGGAGAAAGGAGTCTTGCTTATGAATTAATTATTTGTTGACCTTTAGGACATTTCGTGGTTAAGTTATAGGTAGTAAACAGCATTACATACTAATCAATTATAGCTTTGGGAACACCCTGTATAAATGGCTTAGATTTTATAAAAAAGAAGAGTTTAATGTTCTTTCTGATATGTCAATGAAGTAAAAAAGTGCATTCTACAGACTGTAGCTCCAAATAAACATTTATCAAAGCAGTAGTTGAATATAAATGGCAATGAAAAATTATTAAAGTTTGCCATTTTTTTTTAGTGTTAAGCCTGAGAATATCATTGAAACCATTACTGAAGACAAATATTTAGTAAATCATATCATTAATTCATCCATCAAGTTGAAATACTTCATAAGGGGTTGTTTGAGCCCTCCTCTTCTTCTCGAGCTACTACAGTAGTTACGTTGAAGAAGACTAATAAATGCCAGTTCTTCTATGTGGACTACATCTCCAAAACCAATAAGATACCCATTACCTCTTACAAGTGACATTCTGAGTATCTTGTCAGAAGCAAAATGCATCAACACTCTAGATTTATCTAGTGTATATCAGTAAATATCTCTAATTGCCCAGAGGTGTTAGGCTGTTGAAAGCTATGGTTATGCGAGATATGTGATTGTTAAAAGAAACAACTGCAAATAATTGCTTTTTTTTTAATTCAACTCTTAATTTCTTTATTATTGGTATAATTATTTTATATAAATTGATATTAACAATGTTACTTCTTTATTTTAATATTTATTTGATTTGGAGACAGTAACTTAATTAAATATCTCAGAGTTTTGGCCACACTTATTTTGTAAAACTTGTATTGTGTTACCTTCACAGTAACATGGTCAAGTGATATGTTACACTAATAATGTGGTTATTTGATAAAAATTTCTTTTCATTTCTGTTGGTTCTTCTATGATGTATATAAATGTTCCCATCCTGCCTAATACTTCAAACACATTATTTCCATTAGAAACAAGTTTGTAAAACATAGATGCTTGTTCTTTCTTATTAACAAAAAACATTACTGTCCTTAAGTCATGTCAGCTTAAGTTATTACCTTCCCGAGACACAAATCTCAAGAAGTTTCAATGAGTATCTGTCGACTTTGTAAAAGGAGTCTTGAAGATTAATTGTAATTTCAAATTATATTCTTCTCTCTCTTTCTTTTGAATAAATGTACAAATGAAAAAATAATAATAATAATCAGCTACTCTAAACAATTAATTGGTAATTTATTTCTTCTAAGTATTGGTAGCATTGGTATTTCAAATATTCAAAGTATAATAATATTGCTGTGATTTTAACTTTCAGAAGTGTAATGGCACTTCTATTAAAAGAGAAATGGGCAACTGCAGTATTAAATACATCTTCAGCATTCTTGAACCTTCAGAGGATTTCTTCCAAAATGAAATAATCTTCATTATTCTTGTATATTCTCAAAAGATGAGAATCTTGCACTTCAAATTTTGTTTATTGGATGAATTATTTTTTGCGTGGACACTTGTGTTTTTGGGTATTATGTGTAACAAAACTGAATACAGATATTGGCATATTATTATATGTATATATAGAAATATCTTAAAAGCCAAAGTACTTTCACTTTCAAAAACAAGCAGAATAATATTAAACGTAACATTCTCACCTGATAATTTTTCAGTGTAATTAAAAATATTACAATCTGTACCACCCTTAGCAAACAGAATTCTTAATAATGTTTAGTAGTCTAATGTACTGCAATGGTTCACTTTCCCTCAAAAACAATTGTTAAATCTCAGATTCTGTATATTTAGCTAAAAAAAAGTAAGGGTGCAGCTTTTTTAAGAATTATAAAAAATTAGTAAATAACCTTTTTACATACACTAGATAAAAAAGATATTTCAGCATAGTAACAATGCAAAAACAAATTTGAGAAGAAAAATTAATGTGATTAAAATTACTACTTAAAAGGCTTCATTAGTGAAAAAAAAGTCTCAGATTCAAACTTTATATTAGTCTGTCTATAGGTAATTGGTCATATTTGTAATTTTAATGATATTAATGTTTAAATTGCAAAATTAATTGCCCCTGAACATATTTTTGTATAGCCTTATCTTATAACAAACTGCTATTCCACATAAAAATATTACATACCATACAGTTCAGATATTCAAATATATCATCATTAGAACAAGGCTAATGTTTGATCATACATATAGGTCTACTAAATTATAGTGTTTTAAGCATAACAAAACATTTTAGCATTAAGTCATTCATATACATTCCAAAGAAGAGTATAAAAGTTACTTAATAAAGTGTATTAATCTTTAGAAATTATTAAATACTCAACAGAACTTTCCCAAATAAAATTTTATCTCAGTTGGTCAGATGTTAGAAAACCAAATATTTTATTAACACATTATGCCAATAACCAGTAACATTTAGTAAGTTTAGACGACATACTGTGTTTCTACAGTCATATATTTTAATTTTTCAAGTGTTTCGCCATGATTTGGTTACAAAAACCATGATTTTTAAACAGACTATGTTTACAAAGCACTTACCTAAAAACTGAACAAGCATTATTTTATGTATGACTCATGTTAAAAAGCACTATGATTTTCATACTTCAAAGAATTATTATGACCATAATAACTGTATACCAGTGCAATAAACTTGTTAGTAAATATGCTTGTGTTTTTAAGAGACCGTTCTCCAATCCACTATATCAAGTTAATATATTAAATGCAATGGCAATGCACTGTACAAATATTTCAATTTAAAAGTAATTGTATTGCTTAAAATTAACTAGAGCCAACAGGCTTATGCAAAGGTTGTTTATTACCTTGTTATTAGTCAAGAGCATTTCACTTACAAATTAGCATGATCAAAATGTGTTGTTTCATGTATTTTGTGATAGGATATTCTTCTGACCACACAGCCTGGTGAATTACAAGTTGATTTTCGGTGTTTTGTAGCAAAAATGGGTCCCTCTTAAAATTTCCAAATTTATAAGGCAAGAGATACACAGGAATGCAAAGAAACGTTTGGTGATAAAAATTACGTGGAACACTCATTATTATACAATTTTTTTCGTGTTTGAAATAATCTAACAATAAACATCCCATTGCATTATCCACATGGCAACAAAGCAATAAAGCTTAAGAATTGAAATGACCAAAGTTATCATACCGTTCAACACCCAACGAAAAGACAAATGATACAAAATACAACCTTACATATTAAATAAATATTCACAGTAATTAAATAAACAACTAAAAACAAAAAGCGGTCACAAATGCTTTACACACAATACGTCTACTTTATGAAACGAAATCACAACAGTTCAAAACTTTTGGTTGAGGTTGCGCATATTTGATGAAAATTCAATATATCGAAATATACGGCTAATGAAGTATCATTAAATATATGATTAATAAAAATAAACAAATCAATTAAAAAATTAAATGGCCTCCTACCTCAGACATGTTGAACAGTGGTTTCCTTCTATCTTACAAACTCAGTCTCTCGCTCTTAAATTTGATAATTTGTTTGAACAAAATTGTCAAGAATATTATAATTTAGCTAAATGTTACTTTTTAACCCAAAGGGTTAATAAAATTATAGCTAAATAAAGACTTAATGAGTTTCGTCTACACAAAAGTCAATATGGCAGCCGGCGTACTCACTCGCCACAATGGCGGAACATGCAGCTGGGCGACAAGTGAAGCTCCCAGCTCATGCGGAAACAAAAGTTACAAATCTGGTTTCGTTACTTTTCTAAATATCATTACAATAAATTTAAAATAATAACGTCTTTCAACAACTGATAAGGTAAATCTTACAATAATTCTAATATTTCAAAGTACACTTGTACAAGACTTCAGTAGCACAAATCAAGTGATGAGACATAACACTTCACAAGACTTCGATGACTCCGCCATATTTGCCTCCTTCCTCGTCCACGAATGACGTTGTTAGTCTTTTCTCGAGGGCACGCGCGTGATCATGCCAAGTGCCGTATTCTTTCCAAATAACAGTCCACCTTGGACAGTTCCATTTCACATAATATAATACTACCTTTTTTCACATTAATTCAAAAATTATTTATCAACATACATGGAAAAAAAATGTGCAAACGGCTTTCAAACCATTTTAAATAACGAAAATAATACAATTTATTGTAATTATGAGAAAAATACGACACAGATCAAACACACAAACATCTGAGGTAAGAAAAAACGACGTATTACGTCATGTAATTCAGTGTCCAATAGCAATAGGCTTTAAAATTGCTTAAATATAATTAAAAATGTCTGGCAATTCTTATGAAGTATTAGTTATAGGTACGTATATAATAACTACCAAGTTATTGAGCAAATATAGTATATTATTAACTGGTTAAAACATTATATGAAATATAACTAATTATTCTACAAAAGCCAAGTATTTTCTAATAATTTTTATTTTTCAAATGTTATTCCATTGTGAGAAAGTTTAAGGTTGTGCTATTCTCCTCTGTACGTTTATGGATGAATCAATCTAAGAATATAGTCACCATTTAGCTCCTTAAACTAAACATTTAATAACTAACCATACAGGGGAGTTGTAATATTTCATTACTTGTAAACAAAAATGTATTGACATCACCTCGTCGTACTGTTTTTTTTTTAAATAGCATGAACATGTCAAGAAGTAAAATTATTAATGATATGTATTTAAAATTCACAAATGAAGAAAAGATGAGATTGTACTCACCCAATATCGTTAATTATTTGACGTAATAACATGCTACTAAAGTGAAGAAAAGCAACAATTAAATCACGCTGTTGAACACTACTTTATTATTTCCACGTCCAGATATATCTATACATTCTCGAAAGATTTTGAGACAAGCAATTCTTCTTATATCACTACGAACTTTATGCTTTCTCAATACAATATTTTAAGAAGCAATGATATTTTTTATTGGTACATTCCAAATTAAATGTTCAAACAAGTTCACTAATCCTGAGTGAATCTTTTTTTTTTTCATTCGCCGGTTAGGCTGGACACAAAACCAATATGCTATCTCATATTCTTCTTCGCTTTCGTGGCCGTGTTCCTGTCGATGGTGTTGGGGTTGTGTCTGTGACAGAAACTATTTCCATACCACCCATCTGTAAGCCTTTCACAGAAGACTGAAAATAAATAAATAAATAGATAAATGAATTTTATCCAAGTTAAAGTAAAAACATTTGATTTTATATTAATAACGGTATAAATGCGAACATTATCTGGCTAGAAGTTCTTTTTTATTTTCCAATTTGTTAAAGGATCAACTTGTCTCATTGTTGCAACACTTTATACACTAAGCCTAACGTGGCGGTCATAATAAGTTGTAGATGCATATATGCAACGATATTTTTGTTATGAGCACTACATTTTGAAGAGTTACGTCTCCTCATTGTTTTATCTGGGCCTCACTTAAATTATTGCAACTAAGTATTTGTAAATTTAGTGTCTTTTATGAATAAGAAAACTGTCTACATGTTAAGCCTAACAGCAAAATTAACATTACCGATCTAAAAGCCTATGCAAAATTCTGCGTGATATTCCAATATAAGCCAATCAACAAGCCAAAGAAGTTTTCGTGAACATTACTCATCCATAGCAAACGGTTTAATATTTGTTTTCCAATAATTATCTCAGAGATTTGGTTCATTTTTTTTAATTTCGCGCAAAGCTACTCGAAGACTATCTTTGCTAGCCGACATAAGGATGACAACTAGTCGTCACCAGCCACCACAAACTCTTCGGATACTCTTTACCAACGAATAGTGGGATTGACATTATAACCACCCCACAGCTGAAAAGACTAGTATGTTTTATGAGAGATTTTGATCCTACAACTGTAGATCGCGAGTCGAGCCCCAAACTATCAGGTCATACCAGGCCTAAGCGTACAGAAGTGCGTTGAGTTCCTCACGTTTACAAGGTTCACAGAAGTACGATAATAAACTGTCACTGCAATGCTCGAGACAGTTCATACTAATTTTGTACGCTAGTTTGTTATAAAAACATTATTTCATGGCCTTTTTGACAATGAAATGTATGTTTATCTTTAATCTTTCAAAAAATAAGGTTGTAAAATAAAATATTCTAAAAGTCTGGCTCCACATAAACTGATTTTAAAAATATGCGAAGGATCACAATCACAGTTCTGTTCTAAAAAAATGAAAATGAAAACAAAATAATCATTTACAATTCACTTCAAGTTACAAGTTACTTCAAATTCTATGCAGTCCTACGTTTGTTTAGTGTAATTACTACAATGTATACACAAACACACATATGGTTCAAGGACTATTACTGCAAATAATTCATATATCTGAATGAGAGAACACTTTTACACCATATCCTATCAAAATATAAAGTTCCATTTCTTCTTTCGCCTTACTTTCATTAAAACCAATAAATAACTCAAACAATTTATAGTGATACACAGTTTATATTTTAACAAATGTTTGTCTAATGTATATTACTTAAGGGTACCATGTCATAAGTTGTGACAAGAGTAAATCGAAGGTACCAAAACACAGTTAAAGAATAAAACAAGCACTACTATAGAATTGTCCAAAACCTGTATTGTAAAAACAGAAAATGAGAATGTCCGTAAATAATATACTGGTGATAACACATTATATTATTTGATTTGTTAATGACACTATTTTTCTTACCAACACGTGTTATGCGAGTCAATTTTACTAACTTTTGCGAACAAGCTCACTTGACTATATACTTTTGGAGAAAGGAAATGCCAGCATTAGACCGATCATAAAGTTAATCTTTTTTTTTAAGAAGTCTATAAAGAAAACACTTTTACTTTAAATAGAGCTAAGTACAAGTACCCCTGGCTTCTTGGATTTAAAAAAGAATGACATGAGCCTGAAAAACCCCTAAGTAATCAACTTTACAATGGAAATAATTTAAACTTGTTACCTTCATTCTCAAAGGTTACAAACAAATTGCAGGATTCTGACTAAAACTAACAGAAAACTTTTAATTGCAATATACTACATCTTAACTCTTCAAGTGCGGTTGACATCATATTGTTTGTTTTGAATTTTGCGCAAAGCTACACGAGGGCTATCTGCGCTAGCCGTCCATAATTTAGCAGTGTAAGACTAGAGGGAAGGCAGCTAGTCATCACCACCCACCGCCAACTCTTGGGCTACTCTTTTTACCAACGAATAGTGGGATTGACCGTCACTTCTAACGCCCCCACTGCTGAAAGGGCGATCATCTTTGGTGGGATTCGAACCCACGACCCTCAGATTGCGAGTCGAGTGCCCTAACCACATGGCCATGCTGGGGTGTCATCACATAATGCAAGCATTTAGCGCGCAACATCTTGAGTGGCCCGCCGCAAAAATTCGCAAACCTTTGTGCATGGGGGGTGGTAGGTAGGTTTACACAAGCCACAAACGAAGGGTTAAAATCTAAATATAAACTTCTACCACTACAATATAAAACACACACACATACATTTAACATAAAAGGATGTTTTTGTCATTATGGTAACTAAAATTCGAGTAACCTTTACTGACACTAAATTATTTAGCTTATGTTTCTCTATGTGATAAGCAGTATTTAGTATTATCAATCACTTGGGAGTAACAAGGTATGTCAACAGCTGTAACTATCTTGTTGCCAATTTCTAGGATACGGATACAGTAACCAATCTTATCTATTACAAAGCTTAATATTTTAAAGCAAGTTTAAAGAAACTCGTTTGTGTAGAATTATTCTATACAATAATGATTTACGGGAACCAAAATTTCGTTTATTATATTTCACGCCCCGCACCCATTGACTCAGCGGTAAGTCCGAAAGCTTACAATGCTAAAAACTGGGTTTCAATATCCGTGATGGGCACAGTACGGACAGCCCATTGTATAGCTTTGTGCTTATCAATCAAAGAAATTATACTGCAGTAAGTCCGATTAGAGTACTACTAAGTTTTAACCTAATACGTCAACTAAATAACATACAAGCAGCTTATTGAAATCTTCATTAGTGTTAAAAATTGTCTCTCTACTGCCTTAGATAAACACAAGTCAAAACTGCCAACAGTTTTAGAAAAACAAGTTGAGTAAATAAAGTACAATTCAAATGATAAAAAATAGCTATACTGTTTGTAGATTATTCAAGTTAGTTTACACGGAATGATCCTCGTCAATATATTTATTTTACACATTCTGCCTTCGGCCTATGCGAAAACAACCTAGGTAAGGGACGGAGAATAACCCGAATGTGATATTAATAACCAATTTTGATATCTACAAAATTGAAAAAAATGTTAACTATCTCTTAACAAAAATCTGAAAAATGGGAAATTGTACACACTGCGCTATTCTTTTGAAATTAAATCCCATTTTCAAGTGTTAACCTTAAAACGTTTATTATGAATGCAAGGTGTACGAAATTTATACACTATGAGGATGCTCATTAGTTTATTCACAAATCGGATGTATTCATACGATATTCACGTCTACAAAATTCGGTTTCTAATTCATTAGTTTATCACATTAGCCCATATGATAACTTAAAATCAAGTATTATGTTAAAACCAAGAACATGTTTTCATGTGCTGTAAGAATATCTTATTAACAAATTTAAGATGTATTCTGCTTATAAAAGGAAATACTAGTGTTATTAAGTATTGGGCAAGTTTTTAATGACGTATTAGTCATATCGAATTTGTATTATTGAAAAACGTAAACAATACGAAGTATGTAATTAACGTAATAAAAGAGTAGTGTTTATTACTATACTGGTAGAACGATAATGCCTAGCTCATGCTCAGATAATGTGTTAGGCATAGGCGGATCAGGTACTTCTGACCTCTTACACCCTCATACATCCCTGTGGCTACAAAATAACAAACAAAAAAAACAGATAATTACAAAGTGGATCAAACGAGTGTATCTATTAACCTATTGTGTTACGGAGAGAGAGAATGCCTAATTGCTTTTAGGTATTGTTAGGCCTTGAGTGGATTAGGCACTTTCAACCTCTTTCATCATTTAGATGTAAGGTAACTTTTTTCTGCACCGAAATAATTTCCCACACGTAAGCTTCTTGGTAGTTCTTTCAGTGACTGTCACACAGATGACATAAACAGTCATGAATGATCGTGATTGTGTAACTTGTACAAACAGGATTGATAGCGGACAGGTAATGTTTTAGCCCAAAGTTTCAGAATATGTTCACCTAACCTGAAGGTTATATACAAACACACACAAGATGAAAATGTACATGGAAGTAAGTCCCAGAAAACTAAGAACCACCAATAAACAGTAGGACACAAGAAATCTTGCAGTAAAGAAAGAATTAAATATCACTCAATTTCACACCACACGTGGCAATGCCTATAAATAATACTTACACACAGTGTCATATATGTTTTTTTTTGGGGGGGGGTCTGTTCGTTTAACTTGTCAGCGAAAACTACAAGATGCAAAAACGTAAGCAAATCGAATAAAAGCAAGCGTTAAAAGTTTGTCAGAATAAACCGAAAAGTGTAACACAACCGTGTACTAGAAATCACAAATATCACTTTGTCGAATTGCTAAAAACTGACAGACTACTTGGTGTATGCACAGATTTTTGTTTATTTTTTGTGCAAAACTATGAAAATTAACAAGGGCTTAACAAGTCGTTTATACCTAAAAATTCTGCACTAACTCAAAAGTCGCCATCATCATCGAATTCAAGCAATATAGCGACAATACATAAAGAATCAACGGCTGAATACATTGTACATTTCAACTTTACCTATCGCACATTTGTAGATGTAGTAGCGTTATAAGCACACAAACACGTGCTTATTACAAAGCTACTACCCAAGGTTATTTGCCGCCGTCACTATTTTTGAACTGCCGGCTATAGAGAAGGCGGTGGGTGCTACCAGCCGGTTGCCTTCTCTATGGTCGGCAGTTCAAAATCTGACGGCCAATCCCAGTGTTCCTTTGGTAAAGAGTAGGGTTAAGAATTGGAATAGTGGGATTGATCGTCAGATTATAACTGCACCAAAGCTGAAAGAACAACATGCTCGGCATCACATACAATCACCTGTACTCATTTACGTTTCAACCTTATGGTAATATACATTTCATTTAAACTGTGGGGGGGGTTC